AATCTAAAATATGATGGATAGGTTTTCTCGCTTATGTGATGGGGAGTAAAACATTGGGGTGATGGATTTATCCTCACGGTGTCAAACGCCCTGAACTGCCCCAGGTCGAATGGCTCCCTCTAGCGCCCCCTATTTGTGTGTTGGGAATACCTCTCTGTGTTACTGGAAAGCAACCGACTAAGAATGAGTCGATCACATAACAAGTCAATAATAAGTTGAAATTATCAGAGGATAAACATAAACGTACTTCTATTCTAGGACGAATATTGTCAATTAATAAATTAATGTGTTGTTAGCTTCAATGTTAGCTTCAATGTGGGGAGCGAATGAACGAAACGAAGTAGAACTGCTGACAGTGTCTGCAGGGAAGGATGGTGATTGTATGCGTGGGGTGTTGAAGAAGAACTTACTAGATGGGACAGACAGACAGACTTGCGAGGTAAAGATGATGAACACCGGCGAAACAACGAACATGTGGTTGGCTGACAGAACCTGGTCAATACGGCGACCCTCGACAACGATAGACAAGCAGCAAGGAGAGACATATGTCTCTCAAGTGATCCCATCTGTCCCACACTACTCACCACGTGGCCCCAACTCCCACTGCCCGACGAAGTGGCGCCGTCCCGATGGGAGGAGGTGTATAAGCAACCTTTGTTTGGCAATCGGATGATAACCGATGAGCAATAGTCAAATATATGCCAGCAGAGAACAGCCTTGGAAAGGTTGGGTCAAACAGGGAGTGCTGAGAGTGGGTGAAGATCTGGGATACCACACAGAGGGACTGGGTTCAACTTGACGATACCACAACTGCTCAGGAAACTGAGCTACTGGCATAAGCCACATATTAAAGCATTGGACACTCTGGTCTTTTCTATACCATTAGACTGGGTCCGCATTCTGAGAAGGGGCCCATCCCCGGAAGAGAATGACTGAGCGGCGATCAGGTGCTAGGAGGCGGCAAACATCATTGGTAATATCTTGGATGTCAGGACACATCCGGATGGGTGCGTACTGGCAAAGTCGGGTGCGTACTGGCAAAGCTTCTTCCAAAAGCATAATTATGATGATACCCTCACGGAATGCAACGCGGAGGAAGTCCGCTGGCTTCCGAAAAAATCGGGTCAGCAGAATCCATGTCCTGCGGGATGAGGATATATGGATCGCCTTTAGACCGGGCACCTTGGTGGCCGACCTATCCTTCGACCCGGTGAACTGTGTACAGACCACCCATCACAAAAAAAGGAGGCAAACACAGCAAACGGCTGCACTCGCTATCAGTTAAGGGTACACACCGTATGCTGCACCCTACAGTCTTCCCCCGAATACAACGCACGGTCATTATAGCTGAATTTGGTGTATCTTTCAGTCTACATTCAGCTATAATGACCGTACGTTGTATTCGGGGAAGACTGTAGGATGAACATCAAAGAGCGAGCAGTACTTACTAGATGGATGAATCACCTTGACGTGGGAAGGGCAGCATTACAACCGATAAAGCCGTTTGCCAGGACGAAAAAAGGCGCAGCCAAAATTGCATCTTTGCAATGGCAGATCTTGCTGGCACTGCTGCCAGCCCACGAATGGCTGGCTGATAGACAGAACCCGTCTGGAACAACAGGGCCGCGCTCTCCCGTGATGCAAACGTTGCAACTCAAGTTACCCGGCATGCAGTACACCTGTCAGTGAAACCATGAAATACATAATGCTGCAATGCCCAGGGGGTCAGTATGGATGTGGCGCTGGTGGGACAGAATATGGCACCAGCTGGGAACGGAGCAGCAATGGCCATGGGAGCGGTGAGCATTACTCTGCGGGGCCTGGAACCCCTCACAAGCCAGCGCCTTTGCTGAAAACATGTTTGACATAGGGTGCAGGGCTGCGCTTTGGGGCCCTCTGATGGAGACAATGCATCTTTGAAATGGACGGGGCCCGACCAGATGGCCCTGCTTTCACTGACGCTATCAAACAACAAGTACAAATTGAGTTGACGACACAGTGGAACAAGCTTAGATTAAGGGAAAACTTAACTACCGTCATACAAACAAAGACATATTAATAACGAACATTAAACAATTTTCACATGTCATTGACTGGCTGGGTGGGGAACAACAAGGGGGTGTGGATAGTGGAGGTAGCATGGGAGGGGGGGGGGGAGGAAGGGGACTCCTCAAGGCTGTTGCGGGCGTAGGAGCTGGTTTCTCATGTCTGGACGAGGATAGATGGGTCGCTCCCCATTTGTCGCCCTTCAAATTTCCTGGACCTGTGCCCTCCTCCCGCACTAAGTCTTGCTATTGTAGAATCACAGCGGTAGGGGCTTGAGGGGGACTATGATGGTGTTGTTAAAGGTAGCTACTACCGTCTTCCCCCGAACATAACGCACCCTGAAAATGAACGTATACAAAGGTATGTTTCCGGCCCGATACAGGCAAAATGGGGGTGCGTTGTGTTCGGGGGAAGACGGTAGCTAGATAGGAAGGCTTTTTCTGGCACCCAGAACAGGGGTGAAGAGGCTTCTTTGCACCCCTAACCTCCTCCCATGCAGTCATCAATCGCCCGGGACACCTGTGGCAATCTATGCTGGCGGGGACAGGTGCTTCACTGAAGTAATCGCAATTACAGTTGTTACAGCGGCGCTGGACCCATTTTCCGGCAGGTGCTGCTCTCGACCAGTAGACGGAGGAACTAGGGGATGCTGCTAGGCAGGGCTACTCTTACCACCCGTCGTAACAGCGGCCGCCGGTTTTTTAGGTTAACGAAAAACGAAAAAAGTTTATCACATTCATTAATAATAGCTTGCGAATTATATATCGCTTACAGGTTGCGTACACAAGTTTCCACACATGATACTGTCTACACAGATTCACAGAATATATACACAAAAGACAGGCTGGGGAGTTAGTCGCTGGTGGGGTCTAGTGCCTGCAGTAGGTTCAGGTAGGTTGGATAGGGTGCCATTGGGTGCACTGCCAGTTCCTACTGACATTCGGATAGAAGTGTCTGGTGGCTATATATATATATATCGTCAAATAGAACTGCCCGGTAAACCGTAGGCAGAGAGGGAGAAGAGGACAACAAACGAGGGGCTGTGACAAACTGTAATATATACTTGTGCACCACCCTGCGCAGACCCCACGGGTGATCTACAAATGACTGACCAACAAAATCAGCCTGAGATCCCCGCCAATCTTTGTGGTCTGACTGCAACTAATAGCTGCCTTCGCGTTCTCAATCGACCGTTGTATATACCATCAGATTTCCTTGCAATTGCCCTGCAGCTTGATGTTGATCTGGCTAATCTCGCTGATCCCCCCGACCTACAGCCAGAGCATCGTAATTACACCAGGGAAGGAGGTTTTACCATTGCTGTCCTAGAAATAGCGATGAGGAACCGCCAGCTTGAACTACACCATGCTCTACCTGGTGAGCTGTTTAATCCTCCATCCCGCATCTCTGCCTGCATTGTGCATGGGCCTGGCCATTACATGGCTATTGTACACGCCTCTGACCATTGGGAGGTGTGGAACGACGGTGTCATGGTCCATGCCATGATTGATATTACTGATTTCTTACTCCATGATGCTGTTCTCTTGCCACATCAAACTGTCCTCAACCTCCTTTATGTCGAAGATCATTCCTCTGGCACCGTAGTGCAGCAGTACAATGTACAGACACTATGTGACCTTCTCCTTTGCACAGCCACAGACACTGTGCACTTGGGTGTACTCGCCATCATCTTTGTCACAATCACTACCATGAGATGGTTTTTGCATCCATGTGTGTACAGGATTGTCCCTCCATTCCTGACTGCAGGCACCCTCCTCATCCGCACACTATATGTCCATTTTGTGGCCACGGACGCTATGCTGAATGCATGCTCTTTTGTGGGGGGCGTTCTTCCTTTATTCTGGCCTGCAATAGACATGCTATTTGTCAGGAATCTATGGTTGGCATGCTTAATGCCTGTCTCTTATACACATCTAGATGTGTATAAGAGACAGGTATATACCATCAGATTTCCTTGCAATTGCCCTGCAGCTTGATGTTGATCTGGCTAATCTCGCTGATCCCCCCGACCTACAGCCAGAGCATCGTAATTACACCAGGGAAGGAGGTTTTACCATTGCTGTCCTAGAAATAGCGATGAGGAACTGCCAGCTTGAACTACACCATGCTCTACCAGGTGAGCTGTTTAATCCTCCATCCCGCATCTCTGCCTGCATTGTGCATGGGCCTGGCCCTGTCTCTTATACACATCTAGATGTGTATAAGAGACAGCTACGTGCGCTCTTTTAGTTTGTAGTGATGTGACAATATATATATATATGGGGCCTGTAGTTCATTGTCTGGGCCTGGGGTCAGAAGTTCCGGTTCGACAAGGTTCGACGTCCGATTCCACTTTCGCTTCCGCCAGGGCTGGGCAATCTATCAGCCCTGGTGCCTATCACTGCTCTGTTCGGTCCATGTTGCCTGGCAGTGCCCGTTGGTAGGGCAATGGTCCTGCGTCGCTGTGCTGGTCACACTGAGGGAGAATAGTGGGATAGGGGGTGCGCTACAGTCTTCCCCCGAATACAATGAACGGTCGTTATAGCTGAATTTAGACGGAAAGATACACCAAATTCAGATATAATGACCGTACGTTGTATTCGGGGGAAGACTGTAGGAGTATTGACGTGAGGATGGGTTGGGAGGTGGTCGGATATTCCAGGACATCAACGGCTCACAGTTCCAGGTGATCACTGTGCAGACACTGACTGGCCTCTACAACACCCTGGACTTACACACACACACACACACAAAAAAAAAAAAAAAAAAAAAAAAAAGATACTTCTTTTTTGCCCTCTTCTTTTGGGCCTCCAATTTTGTTTTTTTGCGCCCCGCACCAGTTACCCTCACACCCTCACAAACTCAATATTTGAACCCTTCAACGACGTCCAAAACCCTGAAAATAGCCAACTCCTGACTTCCGTCACTCTTCAATGTACAAGATCGGAGCTAAGTCTGCGTCTGATCTTTTATTTTTAGCGCTTATATTAAATGACAAACCTCCTCGGCGGCCAAGCACAGCCTAATATGGGTCGTGACCTCTCTGAGACTCAAGGGAATAAAACAGAGAACATACCTACTTAAACCAAAAAAACAACAACAACGACGATCATAATGAACAGCTGATTATATAATTGCCCTTCTGCAACTACTGCTACTTTGGACAAATGTTCTGATCGATGACCCGCTTTGAGTTCCCCGCATCTCAAACTTTAAGCCGTTAAGTCAGCACTGTCCCCTTAAAAAAAAAAAAAAAAAAAAAAAAAAAAAAAAAAAAAAAAAAAAAAAAAAGCCGTTAAGTTAGTCAACTCGTAGCTCATCTCTTTCCTCTCTTCTTAGACTTCCAATATTTCGTTTCTTTTTTGCTTTTTTTTTTTTCCTGTTGGTTATGGGGGACTCTGACAGAACTGTGGTAACATGTGAAGACTCTGAGCTCTGAGGAGACATTCATGATGATGATGATGATGATGTTCTTCATCAGAAACCAAATGGCAGAGTAAAGTAGAGTAAAGCTCGGCGACACAAAGGGGTGATATGGCAGAGTAAAGTAGAGTAATTTATTAAGCTAAGCAACGGAAAGGGTGACAGAGCTATGCCCCCAAGGAGCGGCCGAGGATGAACCATGTTGTTGTACACAGTGCTCCAAAGCTAGTATGGACAAAAGCACGATCAAGTACGAACCCATAAACAGAGATGCCTGCCGTCGTCTGGGACAAAAAACCGATGAGAGCTGCTCGGTGGCACCATTCCTCTTGCCGCTCACATGCCGCTTCAATGCGTGCCAGAGTTGGGTCCTGTGCCGCTGTGAAAAGAGCGGCGATTGGGGGAGAAGCTGACTTCACAGGCACCGACCCTGGCGGTGTCGTGCACGGCGAGACTGGCCCGCATCCGTACGAACTTCTGGCGTGCATCGTGCACGCTTGTTTCACGATGCGGCGGTGCTGATGAGCAATTCGTGAAGCAGACCTCAAGCAAAGACCTCCCCCCATCAAGTACAAACAGTTACACACTGCAAGTTCCCCGGTGTTGATGAATGAGAGATTGCCCTTCCGCGCTTGTACGACATTGTACATAGAGGCCAAGGTTCCAAGTACGATGATCACTCCCGAGAGTGATAGAAAGCCTCGGAATCGATGGCTAATGATTCCCAGCCCTCGGATTATCCGTGAGTACGCGAAGAACAGCTTAGAAGAATCATCGTACTTCTGCAGCTGGAAACTGTAATGTCTCATTTTTAAAACCTGAAGTGAGCAGATTTTCCAAAAGATGACGCATACAAAAAGAAACGTTGTCGTCTGGAATAGCCATGCCAACGAAGTGATGACGAATACCACGCCTAAGTCCACTCTCCAATGACCCGTCGTGATTGGGAATGGGGCCAGAGGAATATAAACATAAATGAGCGCTTTTTGAATCACGTGCAAAGCGAACGCCGGGGACGTTAACTTGAATAGCAGTCTCATCACTGACCTGAGGCTCCTTTCATATGCTTGTCGTATCTCGTATGGTTCGTCGTGCACAGCATCAAGGAACAGGACTCCCCGTAGCCCATGCGTACGGAGCATGTGATGGAAACACACAAACGAGATGGCTGATGGGAAGAATTCAAGTATAAAGACGACCGACCGGAATGGGAGTGGAGACGTAGCCGGGTCCTCGTCATCCAAAGGATGAACGAATGCAAACCTTAGAAACGGTATAACTACAATCATCAACAGTCCCACTGTCCACGATAGACAGCCCCACGATGATCGAGAGTGATCCAAGTGCAGAATCCGTAAGCCGGTACGAATGTGATGGACTGATGAGCCATGCTGCCTTTCTAGCTCCCCACTCCCTTCTGTGTTTTGCTGTCTTCCCAATTTCGGACGACCCAAAAACGCAGGCATAGACAGCGCGTGGTTGAATCGCTGGTGCGTAGGGGAATCAATGTCGCCTAGGAGGTGGATATCTGTGTCTACGTCAGACTTATCGTCATCAACCCGGAAATAAGGTCCGCTGTCAACATCCTCTGCAACATGCAGTCTCACTTCTTCCGAGTCACATTCACCACCATACGCCTCTTCAAGTTTTTCGTGCAACAGCGGTTGTAATGATCCTTCGCTCGCCGGGTTCGCCATGGTCATGGCCTTCGAGTGCCCTGTCAAATCTGACGTACCCTCTAACAGATGGGACATAAGAAAAACGCAGGAGGACGTTCCCGTCTTTTTTATGAAAACTTGTCATAACTCGCACTTACCGCAGGTGAGAAGAACGCATATCAAAGTAAGTACACAGTGAGAAAACCGAAACAAGCTCGCTATGGGCTGATGTCCATCTGGCACTGCTAGCAGGACACAGGTATTCCAAACACACCGACACCACAGCCGACATCAGCAAAGTGCTCTCCAAAAGATCACTGACTCCACATCCTTTTCGGAGAACTGTACGTTGTGAAGGATCTCTTTCTTTCTTTTTTTTTTTTTTTTTTGAGTATCGCATTTGAAGGATCTTAAAGTTTTCCAAGAGCACTCGTTTCTTTTGGTACCCAGCTCATGTGGATGAACTGGTACACATGTGACTTGATAAAAGTCACGAGTTCGAATCCTGATGAACTCGGATGAATACAATGAGGTTAGGTAGGGGTTACCTGCGCAGCTGGGGCTACGTGCACGCCTGATCACCCCAAACATGACCAGAAAACAGAAGACGAAGAATGTACCGGCCTGCTGCACGGCGACAAATTCATCCAGACAAAACCATCGCGTGCACTGCCCCGTTTTGCCTCGATGAACAACGCACCCAACGCAGGCCGCTACATGCTGAAGAAGTGGCGTGCGCAGGGTCGCATCTCAGGCATTAGCCTCTGTTTAAGTACTGGTCGTCCAAAGATAGAAAAAAAAGGGGTAACTACACGGGAGTCACAAAACTGAGTTATAATTGCACTATGGGCCAAGATATACAGTTTCAAATTGCAGTTCGGGCAATGTATACAACCCAGCTTTCTGCCCAGGTGTAGGGTGCCACAATTGCAAACTGTATCTTGCCCCATATTGCAATTATGACTCGTTTTGTGACTCTACTGAAGTTACCCCTAGAAACAAAATTTAATGTGTTCATATCCAAAGAAGAAGAAAAAGAACTCTCTATATATTTATATTTGTGAAGTAACAGGACTTCCACCATTAGCTAGCCACCCTTGGCCAGAAACACACCTGCATATTCATGGCCCTAGTACCAGCAAGGCAGTCACGACGCACCCGGTCACCAGACATGAGGCAGATGGAGAACTTGAATGCCCTGGTGTATGGCAGGCAAGAAGGAAACGTGTGATCTGTATGGGCATCGCCGCAGTACTCGCCACAAGTGCAAAACGGAGACTGTATCTTCCAGTATTATAATACTGACATGGATAGAAGCACCCTGTATGATTTTGTCATTTTCACATTATATTTTACGGCCTCACCACCCTACTTGCAAAACCGTCAAAATTGCCGAGAGCTGTCGGATGATGTCGAGAGTAGGGTTTTCGAGAGGCTTGGGCTCTTCGCCACACCACCTCTCCATTTAGAGGCTCGCCACACAGGCTATCGAAAACCAGGGTTTCGACAATTTTGCATCGCCACACAGACTTTCGAAGAATTGCGGCTCAAAAAATTTCGACAGGTGTCAGAATGGTAGGCTCAACAGCCACCCTCCGCCATTCGTTTCCTCCACCTGCAGGAGACCGAAATTCGAAAGTGCCCCACCTGCCTTTCGAGAATTGGGCTCAAATTTGCATTGTCAGGGACTGTTCCGTGACACCCGTGCCCTGTCGAAAGGCAGAGTCCATTTGGCCATGACCAAAAACCTTGCCCTCCGACAGCCTGTGTGGCGAAAGGGGGGTTAAACTGTCGACAGCCGACTTTCATTTTTTTTTTGACAGCTGTCGAAACTCAAAGAGTCTCGACAGCCTGTAAGCCGCCCTTGAATCACGTACAGAAAGAATCAATGAATCTGGCCCCCACAAATTCACATGTCATGGTAACTAATTGACACCTCTTGAAAACAGAGACGTCGCAGAGGGGGCCGGCAAGAGGACTCGAGAAATCCAGGATGCTGCAGGCTGCCCCGGCAGTGAGTTTCAAGTTTCAACAGGGTCTCTCAAACTGGAATCACTGACACCGCTCAAATTCATTTTGGGTTTTGGTTGTCGACAGGTCGTGTGGTGGTGCACTACTCTCCAAAACTCGTGTTTTGGAGAGCAGTGTGGTGACTCAGAGGCCCTTAGTGAGGGGTGCGGCAAAAAGCCTCTCTCAAATTTCCCCCTAGTTCGGGCCTCCCTGCACTACTCAACCCACCCGGTTTTTGCTGAGTGCTGTGTCGCCACAGTCGCTCACCCCACCTTTTGTGACAAAGCCCAAACATATGTGAAGTCACTCGCCTAAGGCCACCTTTCTCACAAATTCCAAATTATGTGACAACAATGGAAAATCGGTCATGGTGAGGCCCTTACGTACAGTGTCAGATGTCACAGGCTGCACCCGTTTTCCTGCCTGCAACACTTGTCATCACACGTGCTTGGACGTTTCCACAACGTTCCAGCAGTCACCCCTACCTTAGGGTTGAGTTTTCCTCTGTCCAGAGTTCTGACAGTTTTTTTTACGGTAACCTCCTTTTGCTTTTAACTTGTTTGATATGCCGACGCAGAGCACCACTGGATTGAGCGTGTGCCACCCTAACGGTTACACATTGGGCCTTGCTCCACTACTCACGACATGCACAAAAGACAAAAATATATGGTGGCGTATCTGGCCATGTTCTAGCGGAAGATCCATTCTCATTTTGCACATTTGGTGCGTAGTGGAGCGAGGCCCATTCATACAAGTTTTTCATCTGGTTTGCATGGTGCACTGAGACCCATTGTGCTTGCCCAGAACATCGCCTCGCCCATTCATACAAGTTTTTCATCTGGTTTGCATGGTGCACTGAGACCCATTGTGCTTGCCCAGAACATCGCCTGTCAGTACTAGGTGGAATCTACCATCTTCACCCGAATAGAACTCCCGGTAATTATCGCCGTATCGAGGCTGAAAGTTGTGCCAAATACAGCTATAATGACCAGGCCTTCTATTCGGGTGAAGACGGTAGCAATGGCATCTTCAACCCCCCCCCCCCCTCTCCCCCCCCAGGTTCCACATGCACATGCAATACTAGGCAAATGGGACACCTTGGAATATGCACAAGTAACCGGCGTACTAGATGGTTTTGGAGTTTACTACATGGTCCAACACCCAGTACGAGGAAACATGAAGAAAGTGGCATGATGACTGTGCCCCAGTTTTTTGTGGATGTGAATGTGTCGTCGTTGAGCCCTGGTACCTGCAAGGTGCTGTCTGGTCAAGATCGCCCCTGAGTGGGGGATAGTCGTGAGTGGTAGACACTGAGGTACACAGCATGGTATAGGGATGCTGGTCCCGATTTCCAGCAGATACAAATCACATTAGTGCAATACACATTACATCATGATTAGGGTTCGCCTAATAGGATTGATGTCTCAGTTTGTTTGCGAGGTTCTATAGATCAATCGATAGGGACGCGGGACTCATTTTCCTGCACATACATTCACACCATGGCACAAGGACGCTGGACCTGATTTCCAGCAAATATATTCTCATCAGTGTATAGGGACGCGGGACCCGATTTCCAGCAGGTGTAGCTCCCCACCAATAGATGGAGCCTTCGACGCTGGGGCCTACTTGCCGGGGATGCTCTTATCACCTCGATAAGCAGGTTTCCCATATACGAAGTTAAAAAAAAAAAAAAAAAAAAAAAAAGTGGTAGGCTCGTAGAAGTACGGGTGTGCCGGGGCGAAATTACAAGAGTGGAGTGGAAGGTTGGGACTCCGAGGGAGTCTCCGTGGGGCCTCTATCTACTGTCTCATAAACCCCACATGGCCGAGTGCCGAAGGTGACTGCCATATTATGTCCAGAATCCGACCTCTACAACAACCTGGGCTTTATACATTCCCCCCCCCCCAACCCCCCAAAAAAAAAGATCTCCTTCTGTCTTTTTTTTTTTGGATCTTTTTATCATTGCTGTCGCCTGTCAGTGTGTGTCATTCATTGGTTTCATCATCATCATCATTGATTTTTGTTCAGCTTCGCTGGCAGATAACTGTCATTAATTTTCTTGTCCATTTCCATTCTTGAACATCGACCACCCTGAGCAGGTCACTACCTGTCTCTTATACACATCTAGATGTGTATAAGAGACAGGGTCACTACAGTGATTCCAAGAGGAGTTTTGTCTGCTTGCCACCAAACGACCATGATTAAACCACTGTCAAATACCATGGATTTGGGGGGGGGACGGGGGGGGGGGGGGGGGGGGGGAGGGGGGAGGAAACAATCACCTTCTATTATTTTGGACAACTGTGATTTGTCAGTGAATCATGACACCGCTCCCAGTCGTGCGAGGGGATGTTCCCTCCTCGCAAACAGAGAAACGAAAGAGACAGTGGTGGGAATAAATCTGCACAAAATAAATAAATAAATAAATAAAATCTGCAAAAGACATTGGTGTTTTTTTCCACCAGTTCCTACCCCTGACTTCCTCAGCCTTTTAACCAATTTCAGAAAGTCCGTGAAATTGGCTGTTAAAAAAAAAGAAAGTCTGTGAAACTCGCACACTGTGAGTAGAGGCAGGACGCACAATGCCGCCTTCGGGTGCTGTGTGATCCCTGGTTGGTCGCTGTCACCCACTGCCACATTCCGTGAGACCACACTCACTCAAAAGCAAGTGTGACCTGGGCCCAGCTGTGGGCCCAGCTGTGGGCCCAGTCTTGGAAAACCAACCTGAAGGTTAGACCACCAGTACTTTTGAAGCTTGCCTTGCCGAGGGTGGAAACACCCTGCGTGCCAAAGAAAAAAGAGCCCTCACGGGCCTTCTTTCAGCTGGTGGTACCAGCCATTTTGCTCGGGTACGAAAACTTGCAGCCCCAAAACTTGTGGCAGCACACAGTGTCAGAGAAAAATGACTGGCAAACATACTGGTGCTTTAACATGGAGCGTTGCTGCAAACACTTTGCCGCAAACAGGCTACTCTACATGCCAGTCTCTTTCGGGTAAGTACCTTCAGAGTCACTGTGGCCTATTTCGGCAAAACCGGTGGAAGAAGCCCACCCGAAAACCATTGGGCTGTGTACGCTGAAAGTCTTCAGTTTCGATCTGAAAGGATTCAGTTTCGATTGAAAGGATTCACACTGCAGGCACCCCAGTCCCGGTCCTAGAGTCCGTAAGTGTCCCAGTCCCAGGCTGTTCCAGTAGGATAGGCCATTATGATAGGGTCTGTAGTCCAAAGCTT